GAGAGCTCCTTGGTCTTCATGGTGCCGCTTGCTTGGTGGTGTTGCAGACTCTGGGGCTGTCACGATCGTCGAACAGAGATGAGGACCAAGGTGCAGCGTTGCAGGCAAACATACTCTTTATTAGAGACACGATCAAAAACAACAAAACGAAAACGTGACAGTTCACGGTCTAACACAACCGACTAGAAACAAAATCCCACAAACACCAATGAAAAACAGACTGTATAAATATGGCTCCCAATCAGAGACAGCCAGCAACACCTGACACTCGTTGCCTCTGATTGGGAGCCACTCTGGCCAACATAGAAATAGCACCCATAGAAACAAAACACATTATCTACACACCCTGGCTCAACATAACAGTGTCCCCAGAGCCAGGGCGTGACAGTACCCCCCCCTAAAGGCGCGGACTCCGACCGCGTCAACCAAATACCACAGGGGAGGGACCGGGTGGGCACTCCGCCTAGGCGGCGGATCCGGCTCCGGGCCTGATCCCCGCTCCCTCTCCAACCCCCCAAAGTACCCCTGGTCCGGTCTGGCCCCGCTGGCCGGAGCTGGACTGCACACTGATGGAACGGATTGCTCTAGCTCCGGCGTAAAACATCTGACCAGTGCCGAACCAGGCACCAGTGGAACAGGCACGGGCCGTGCCGGACTGACGACGCCCACCACTGGCTTGGTGTGGAGAACAGGCACGGGCCGTGCTGGACTGACAACGCACACCACTGGCTTGGTGTGAGGAGCAGGAGTGAGCCGAACCGGGCTGACGAAACGCACCACTGACTTGGTGCGGGGAGCAGGAACGGGCCGAGCCGGGCTGACGAAGCGCACCACTGACTTGGTGCGGGGAGCAGGAACGGGCCGAGCCGGGCCGACGAAGCGCACCACTGACTTGGTGCGGGGAGCAGGAACGGGCCGAGCCGGGCTGACGAAGCGCACCACTGACTTGGTGCGGGGAGCAGGAACGGGCCGAGCCGGGCTGACGAAGCGCACCACTGACTTGGTGCGGGGAGCAGGAACGGGCCGAGCCGGGCTGACGAAGCGCACCACTGACTTGGTGCGGGGAGTAGGAACGGGCCGAGCCGGGCTGACGAAGCGCACCACTGACTTGGTGCGGGGAGCAGGAACGGGCCGAGCCGGGCTGACGAAGCGCACCACTGACTTGGTGCGGGGAGCAGGAACGGGCCGAGCCGGGCTGACGAAGCGCACCACTGACTTGGTGCGGGGAGCAGGAACGGGCCGAGCCGGGCTGACGACGCCCACCACTGGCTTGGTGTGGAGAACAGGCACGGGCCGTGCTGGACTGACAACGCACACCACTGGCTTGGTGTGAGGAGCAGGAGTGAGCCGAACCGGGCTGACGAAACGCACCACTGACTTGGTGCGGGGAGCAGGAACGGGCCGAGCCGGGCTGACGAAGCGCACCACTGACTTGGTGCGGGGAGCAGGAACGGGCCGAGCCGGGCTGACGAAGCGCACCACTGACTTGGTGCGGGGAGCAGGAACGGGCCGAGCCGGGCTGACGAAGCGCACCACTGACTTGGTGCGGGGAGCAGGAACGGGCCGAGCCGGGCTGACGAAGCGCACCACTGACTTGGTGCGGGGAGCAGGAACGGGCCGAGCCGGGCTGACGAAGCGCACCACTGACTTGGTGCGGGGAGTAGGAACGGGCCGAGCCGGGCTGACGAAGCGCACCACTGACTTGGTGCGGGGAGCAGGAACGGGCCGAGCCGGGCTGACGAAGCGCACCACTGACTTGGTGCGGGGAGCAGGAACGGGCCGAGCCGGGCTGACGAAGCGCACCACTGACTTGGTGCGGGGAGCAGGAACGGGCCGAGCCGGGCTGACGACGCCCACCACTGGCTTGGTGTGGAGAACAGGCATGGGCCGTGCTGGACTGACAACGCACACCACTGGCTTGGTGTGAGGAGCAGGAGTGAGCCGAACCGGGCTGACGAAACGCACCACTGACTTGGCGCGGGGAGCAGGAACGGGCCGAGCCGGGCTGACGAAGCGCACCACTGACTTGGTGCGGGGAGCAGGAACGGGCCGAGCCGGGCTGACGAAGCGCACCACTGACTTGGTGCGGGGAGCAGGAACGGGCCGAGCCGGGCTGACGAAGCGCACCACTGACTTGGTGCGGGGAGCAGGAACAGGCCGAGCCGGGCTGACGAAGCGCACCACTGACTTGGTGCGGGGAGCAGGAACGGGCCGAGCCGGGCTGACGAAGCGCACCACTGACTTGGTGCGGGGAGTAGGAACGGGCCGAGCCGGGCTGACGAAGCGCACCACTGACTTGGTGCGGGGAGCATGAACGGGCCGAGCCGGGCTGACGAAGCGCACCACTGACTTGGTGCGGGGAGCAGGAACGGGCCGAGCCGGGCTGACGAAGCGCACCACTGACTTGGTGCGGGGAGCAGGAACGGGCTGAGCCGGGCTGACGAAGCGCACCACTGACTTGGTGCGGGGAGCAGGAACAGACCGGACCGTACTGGGGACACACACCACTGGCCCTACACCGGGATCTGGAACGGGCCGGACCGGACTGGTAACACACCCCAGTACCTCTCGCCGTGCCTCTACACCTTCCATCCCCTCTTCTACCAGTGGCCCCCGTAACCTGGCGGCCTCCTCTGCCAACCCGCTGGACCGCTCTATCGCGGCCTCCTGCTGCCCCGACGTCGTGAGCCCCCCCCTAAAAAATTTCTGGGGGTCTCTCCTCCCCGTGGGCCAGGCCTCTATAGTTCTCGCCCAACTCTCGCTCTTCTGCCTCCAACTCCCGCTATTCAGCTCCTCAATTGGCTTGACCCAGTCGAAGCTCTTCCTCCATTGTTCCCAAGTCCACTCTCTCTGCTCTTCACTCGGCTTGACCCAGTCGAGGCTGCCACGGAGATCTGCTAGGGATTTCCCTGGCGATGGCTCCTCGACTCGCTGCTTGGTCCAGTAGTGGTGGGATTTTCTGTCACGATCGTCGAACAGAGATGAGGACCAAGGCGCAGCGTTGCAGGCAAACATACTCTTTATTAGAGACACGATCAAAAACAACAAAACGATACGTGACAGTTCACGGTCTACCATAAACAGACTAGAAACAAAATCCCACAAACACGAATGAAAAACAGACTGTATAAATATGGCTCCCAATGAGAGACAACCAGCAACACCTGACACTCGTTGCCTCTGATTGGGAGCCACTCTGGCCAACATAGAAATAGCACCCATAGAAACAAAACACATTATCTACACACCCTGGCTCAACATAACAGTGTCCCCAGAGCCAGGGCGTGACAGGGGCCTTTCAGAACAGGTGTATATTATACACTGAGACCATGTGACAGATCATGTGACACTTAGATTGCACACAGGTGGACTTTATTTAACTAATTATGTGACTTCTGAAGGTAATTGGTTGCACCAGATCTTATTTAGGGGCTTCATAGCAAAGGGGGTGAATACATATGCACGCACCACTTTTCCGTTATTAATTTTTTAGAATTTTCTGAAACAAGTAATTTTTTGCATTTCACTACACCAATTTGGACTATTTTGTGTGTGTCCATTACATGAAATCCAAATAAAAATAAATTTAAATTACAGGTTGTAATGCAACAAAATAGGAAAAACGCCAAGGAATTTGAATACTTTTGCAAGGCACTGTAGATGTGAAGGACGCCTTTATCTTGGTTATAATGACTGGGTGTATTGATACACCATCCAAAGTGTAATTATTAAGCTCACAATGCTTAAAGGAATATTCAATGTCTGTTTAGTTTTTTTCATTTTTACCCATCTACCAATAGGTGCTCTTCTTTGCGAGGCATTGGAAAACCTCCCTGGTCTTTGTGGTTAAATCTGTGTTTGAAATTCACTGCTCGACTGAGGGACCTTACAGATAATTGTATGTGTGGGTTACAGAGATGAGGTAGTCATTCAAAAATCATGTTAAACACTATTATTGCACACAGAGTGAGTTCATGCAACTTATTATGTGTCTTGTTAAGCAATGTTTTACTCCTGAACTTATTTAATCTTGCCATAACAAAGGGGTTGAATTCTTATTGACTCAAGACATTTCAGCTTTTCATTTTTAATTAATTTGTAAAACTTTCTAAAAACATAATTCCACTTTGACATTATGGGTTACTGTGTGTAAGCCAGTGTCAAAAAAATCAACAAAATGTGGAAAAGGTCAAGGGGTGTGAATACTTTCTGAAGGCACTGAATGTCTAATATGAGAAACGTACTGCATTTAAGCTGATTGGTCTTTAAGGGCTGCAGAAAGAGGGGGGTGGAAACTAGAAGTGCTCATGAGTAGAATGGACCCCCTTTTTACGGCGACACAACGTACAGGCAATTATGTACAGTCCGATAAATTATAGGAGTACACAAAACAAAACATTGTTGACCATTTAGGCTTGAAAAATATAATAAATATATCACATAATATCTTTTAATTATTCTTTGTATGATAGCTAGTATAAAATATATCAATAATTGTGCAAATATCCCATCAATTTAGCCCTAATTAGTCATTGAGAAGGTATACAGGACAGGACTCTTATTCTGAAGGATTCCAGAAATCTGTGACCCAGAAGTGCCTAGTTATTCTTGCCTGCTTCGTGATGGTCTACATCAGGGTTCTTCAATTCCGGTCCTGGAGGGGGCCAAAACACCTCTGTTTTTCATCCTCTCCTTCTAATCAGGGGCTAATTCAGACCTGGGACACCAGGTGAGTGTCAATTAACTACCAGGTAGAAATAAAAAACAGAAGTGTTTCGGCCCTCCAGGACCGGAATTGAAGAACCCTGGTCTACATGAATACACCACCAACAAATACATTGTATTCTTGGTTTGAATAAGAAGTGACACAGGCTACTGGGATGCTTTTGGCAATAACATACTGTATCTTCTCAAGTCTTTTTCTCATCTATTTTGTCTTTTGTAGACAGACAGAGCAACCCCTACATTGCATTTCACCAACTTCTTTCTTTTTTTTGCAGGATACAGGAGTGGGCAAGTCTAGTATTGTATGTCGTTTTGTGCAAGACCATTTCGACCACAACATCAGTCCGACGATAGGGTAAGTTGTAATACCTCCTTCAATGCAATAGGCAGCAACAAAGTGTGTAATCAGCTTTCAGCCTGTCCTGTTCCGGAGACCTTTCAGGAATCATCAATTTAATGTGTCCCCTCATGATGAGTTCCGTTTTCTGTGTGCCCCCCACCCCCCAACCCCACCCCCATCAAAGTTACCCATCCCTGATCTAAAACAGCATCCCTCACAGGAAAATCACAGTTATTGTATTGTATCGTTCACAGTTGTATAATGTTGAGACCAAGTGCTAGGCATAATTCTCTGTGTTACTTGCAGGGCATCATTTCTAACCAAGATGGTGCCGTGTGGAAATGAACTACACAAGTTCCTCATCTGGGACACGGCGGGACAGGAAAGGGTGGGTTAGGTGCCTCAGCTTTGCTCATCCTTCATCTGTTTAGGGTTGCCAGCTTGAGCCAAACTCATTCGGGGGAGATTATAAAATTCTGTCCACGTTGTTTAAGTTTCATTAAAACAAATCTCCCACAGTAGCTTTACTGCTTGCCAGGAGGTAAAGGCTGGTTCCAGGGGTCAATGGAGAGAGTTGGCATGGCAACCCTTTTCACTGTTTACTTCTTGGTTCCCAAAGTATGTATCCAGAGCCTTCTCAAGTCTTACACAGTCACATGGCGACTAAGTATCATGGTGAGATTACTTCCCTTTCTAAGGGATGACGTGATTGGTTATTCTGGGACACACTGAGAAAGTCAGGGTTCAAGGTTCATAGTACTGTTGTGGCATGATGACTCACAAGGGTGGGGTGTACAGTGGGGAAAAAAAGTATTTAGTCAGCCACCAATTGTGCAAGTTCTCCCACTTAAAAAGATGAGAGAGGCCTGTAATTTTCATCATAGGTACACGTCAACTATGACAGACAAATTGAGAAAAAAAAATACAGAAAATCACATTGTAGGATTTTTAATGAATTTATTTGCAAATTATGGTGGAAAATGAGTATTTGGTCACCTACAAACAAGCAAGATTTCTGGCTCTCACAGACCTGTAACTTCTTCTTTAAGATGCTCCTCTGTCCTCCACTCGTTACCTGTATTAATGGCACCTGTTTGAACTTGTTATCAGTATAAAAGACACCTGTCCACAACCTCAAACAGTCACACTCCAAACTCCACTATGGCCAAGACCAAAGAGCTGTCAAAGGACACCAGAAACAAAATTGTAGACGTGCACCAGCCTGGGAAGACTGAATCTGCAATAGGTAAGCAGCTTGGTTTGAAGAAATCAACTGTGGGAGCAATTATTAGGAAATGGAAGACATACAAGACCACTGATAATCTCCCTCGATCTGGGGCTCCACGCAAGATCTCACCCCGTGGGGTCAAAATGATCACAAGAACGGTGAGCAAAAATCCCAGAACCACACGGGGGGACCTAGTGAATGACCTGCAGAGAGCTGGGACCAAAGTAACAAAGCCTACCATCAGTAACACATTACGCCGCCAGGGACTCAAATCCTGCAGTGCCAGACGTGTCCCCCTGCTTAAGCCAGTACATGTCCAGGCCCGTCTGAAGTTTGCTAGAGTGCATTTGGATGATCCAGAAGAGGATTGGGAGAATGTCATATGGTCAGATGAAACCAAAATAGAACTTTTTGGTAAAAACTCAACTCGTCGTGTTTGGAGGACAAAGAATGCTGAGTTGCATCCAAAGAACACCATACCTACTGTGAAGCATGGGGGTGGAAACATCATGCTTTGGGGCTGTTTTTCTGCAAAGGGACCAGGACGACTGATCCGTGTAAAGGAAAGAATGAATGGGGCCATGTATCGTGAGATTTTGAGTGAAAACCTCCTTCCATCAGCAAGGGCATTGAAGATGAAACGTGGCTGGGTCTTTCAGCATGACAATGATCCCAAACACACCGCCCGGGCAACGAAGGAGTGGCTTCGTAAGAAGCATTTCAAGGTCCTGGAGTGGCCTAGCCAGTCTCCAGATCTCAACCCCATAGAAAATCTTTGGAGGGAGTTGAAAGTCCGTGTTGCCCAGCAACAGCCCCAAAACATCACTGCTCTAGAGGAGATCTGCATGGAGGAATGGGCCAAAATACCAGCAACAGTGTGTGAAAACCTTGTGAAGACTTACAGAAAACGTTTGACCTGTGTCATTGCCAACAAAGGGTATATAACAAAGTATTGAGAAACTTTTGTTATTGACCAAATACTTATTTTCCACCATAATTTGCAAATAAATTAATTAAAAATCCTACAATGTGATTTTCTGGATTTTTTTTCTCAATTTGTATGTCATAGTTGACGTGTACCTATGATGAAAATTACAGGCCTCTCTCATCTTTTTAAGTGGGAGAAGTTGCACAATTGGTGGCTGACTAAATACTTTTTTTCCCCACTGTAAATGGACGTGTGTGTCTGTGTGTGTGCGTGCATGTGTGTGTGTGTGAGTAAATTAAAATATCACTTGGTTCCTGTTGAATCACTGTTAAATCACTGTTAAATCACTTGGTTATCTCATCCACCCTGTTAAATCACTGTTAAATCACTTGGTTATCTCATCATTCCTGTTAAATCACTGTTAAATCACTGTTAAATCATTGTTAAATCACTGTTAAATCACTTGGTTATCTCATCCTCCCTGTTAAATCACTGTTAAATCACTTGGTTATCTCATCCTCCCTGTTAAATCACTGTTAAATCTCTGTTAAATCACTGTTAAATCACTTGGTTATCTCAGCGTCCCTGTTAAATCACTGTTAAATCACTGTTAAATCACTGTTAAATCACTTGGTTATCTCATCCTCCCTGTTAAATCACTGTTAAATCACTGTTAAATCACTGTTAAATCACTTGGTTATCTCATCGTCCCTTTGTCCAACATTGTTGCTTTTCCTGTTTGTATTTTGAACTTAGAATCTTTATTTTTCCAAACTAAAGCTAAGAGAGTTGGCACATGCCTGGAATGTTCCATGAATATCTATAGGCGATACCAAACAGTTATAACCTTAGTTATAACGCTATAATATCGGCCAATGAACTGCAACTGCGCTTGTGCAGATAGGAATTTATGCTGTTCTCTACTACCAACTGTAACTTAATGTATGGTTGTATTCCAGTTCCACTCGCTAGCCCCCATGTACTACAGAGGGTCTGCCGCTGCTGTCATAGTCTATGACATCACCAAACTGGTAAGGAACGGATCAATATTCAGTGTGGATCCCAGACTACAGACATTACAGCCTGGTCCCCAGATCTATTTGTACCGTCTTGCCAACTCCCGTCTTCATTGTCATGCCAAACAGATCTGAGGCAAAGGGCCCCTATTCATAAAGCTTCTCGGAGTATCAGCGCTGATCTGCCTTTTAGATCATTGTGAATCAGATTATATGGACAGGGAAGACCTGATCCTAGATCATTGTGAATCAGATTATATGGACAGGGAAGACCTGATCCTAGATCATTGTGAATCAGATTATATGGACAGGGAAGACCTGATCCTAGATCATTGTGAATCAGATTATATGGACAGGGAAGACCTGATCCTAGATCATTGTGAATCAGATTATATGGACAGGGAAGACCTGATCCTAGATCATTGTGAATCAGATTATATGGACAGGGAAGACCTGATCCTAGATCATTGTGAATCAGATTATATGGACAGGGAAGACCTGATCCTAGATCATTGTGAATCAGATTATATGGACAGGGAAGACCTGATCCTAGATCATTGTGAATCAGATTATATGGACAGGGAAGACCTAATCCTAGATCAGCTCACCTACTCTGAGATGCTTTATGAATACAGGCCCAGGCTAGAGACATTAGGCTTTGTATAAAAAGCCAAGTTTGACCCATCAGCCCTGGAGTAAAGTGTAACCTGGCCATTGTATTGTCTGTCTGCCTGCCTGCCTGCCTGCCTGCCTGCCTGCCTGCCTGCCTGCCTGCCTGCCTGCCTGCCTGCCTGCCTGTCTGCCTGTCTGTCTGTCTGTCTGTCTGTCTGTCTGCCTGTCTGTCTGCCTGTCTGCCTGTCTGCCAGGACTCTTTCCAGACACTGAAGAAATGGGTGAAGGAGCTGAAAGAACATGGTCCTGAGGACATCGTTGTAGCCATTGCAGGGAACAAGAACGACTTGGGGGACATCAGGTATCAATCATTTTTGTAAAATATATATATATTTTTTAAATGTTCTTGTTCAGGTCAACATCATAAACAGATTGTACGTATGTACATGCATTTGAAACAAGAAACAGGACACAACACCAAGACAATACAATGGCAGTAAACGAGAACACACTAACAATAAGAATTCTACAGTCACTTTCAGGTCTCTGCTCTACTGATTTTTCTTTTTATTACTTTCTCAATTTGACTGTAAATACGGAGTCAAGGTGACCAGGGTCAAGTTGACCCATAGATTCATTGTATTTTTATATTGACACTTCTCAGGGTACTGTATATGCAATATTAGGGGGAAGAGATAGCAAAAATGGGTCCCATATTGAATAGAAATCCCCTTCCTTGTTCCTAAATATAGCACTCATTTTCTCCAGCGGTAACACTTTAAACAGAGTTATGGTTGGTGGCTGGTCTTTTATCCAGTTAAGGAGAATGCATTTGCGGGCCACAAAGAGTAATTTGTTAGGAAGATTGAGCTGTGCTAAGGTAAGTAAAAGCCTGTTGCCGACGACACCCAGGACAAATAACCACGGGTCCATTCTCATACGACATCTGAACGTACCCTCCAGCTCCGTTTTGACATTTTCCTTAGAAGATTGTAATGACTGGGAATGTCCAGAACAGACGAGGGCCTTTTTCCTTCTCCACTTCCAACAGGTGTCAGAGAATCCCATGAACCCTTGAATCTTATACTGCATATATGGCACCTTGTTGCAGGAGATCAGTTTGTCTTGTGTTGCAGGTGATCAGTTTGTCTTGTTGCAGGTGATCAGTTTGTCTTGTTGCAGGTGATCAGTTTGTCTTGTTGCAGGTGATCAGTTTGTCTTGTTGCAGGTGATCAGTTTGTCTAGTTGCAGGTGATCAGTTTGTCTTGTTGCAGGTGATCAGTTTGTCTTGTTGCAGGTGATCAGTTTGTCTTGTTGCAGGTGATCAGTTTGTCTTGTTGCAGGTGATCAGTTTGTCTTGCTTCGAGCCTTTGTCCAATTTAGAATTTCTGGGCCTCTTCCCGGCTCCGTTTCCCAGACCCTAAATCAGAGCACTTGAGTTACTTTCAACATTAGAGTGTATAGCAATATGAAATGAAGAAATAAAGTGTTTAGGTCTTTCAGCTTTCAACAGGAGATTGTCCACTATAGGGTTCGTATTGGGTTCTGTGGGGGTGACGCCATCTTGGATTCCATCAAATGTCTTACTTGCAGATACCCAAAGAATTGTCTGTGTGGTACAGCACATTTTTGTTGGATTTTCAGAAACGATAGCAACGTGTCACCATCAAACATATCTGATTTTTGGCCTTATACCTTTCTGGTACCAGAGGTAGAAAATGCTATCAGAAACGCCAGGTAGATAGACCTTGTTATTAATAAGGTGAGTCAGAGCAGAGGAGTAATCCTTTCTCCCAATATTTTTGCTAATATCTCTCCAGATCTTAAAGGTGCTGTTAAGAATAAAGGTAATGTTAAGAATAAAGTTAATGTTAAGAATCGGGTTATGTTAAGAATAAAGGTAATGTTAAGAATAAAGGTAATGTTAAGAATTGGGTTATGTTAAGAATAAAGGTAATGTTAAGAATCGGGTTATGTTAAGAATTGGGTTATGTTAAGAATAAAGGTAATGTTAAGAATCGGGTTATGTTAAGAATAAAGGTAATGTTAAGAATCGGGTTATGTTAAGAATAAAGGTAATGTTAAGAATCGGGTTATGTTAAGAATAAAGGTAATGTTAAGAATCGGGTTATGTTAAGAATAAAGGTAATGTTAAGAATCGGGTAATGTTAAGAATAAAGGTAATGTTAAGAATAAAGGTAATGTTAAGAATAAAGGTAATGTTAAGAATAAAGGTAATGTTAAGAATAAAGGTAATGTTAAGAATCGGGTAATGTTAAGAATAAAGGTAATGTTAAGAATCGGGTAATGTTAAGAATAAAGGTAATGTTAAGAATAAAGGTAATGTTAAGAATAAAGGTAATGTTAAGAATAAAGGTAATGTTAAGAATAAAGGTAATGTTAAGAATCGGGTAATGTTAAGAATAAAGGTAATGTTAAGAATCGGGTAATGTTAAGAATAAAGGTAATGTTAAGAATAAAGGTAATGTTAAGAATAAAGGTAATGTTAAGAATAAAGGTAATGTTAAGAATAAAGGTAATGTTTTACTTCTGTGCTGACTGAGTTTCTGTCACCAGTCATGACACCGATTAATGAGTATGGAGATGTGAAGCAGGACTCATTACTGACCCAATTAGAGCAATAATCTCTGAGCCTTTCTGCAAGATACAAGCATGACATGCCCAGTTATACAACAGTAAATGAGGCAGTCCCAGTCCTCCTAAATGAGGCAGTCCCAGTCCTCCTAAATGAGGCAGTCCCAGTCCTCCTAAATGAGGCAGTCCCAGTCCTCTTACATTACATGGGAGCTACAGTTCACTAACTTGTTTACTCAGCCTTGGTCTTTTTCTGTGCAATATAAAGTCTGAGAGATAGTCATTGAGGTCATTCAAAGTATTTTTTAATGTATCAGTACTTCACTGCTGTACAGCTCTGTACTGCATTACCACCCCGGGGTTGCGTGTTACTGCTTCTCTGACTAGGAAGTGGTCATTCTGAATTCCAGAACACCAGGAAATGAGAGCTTACTGACGGAGCACCTTTTTTTTGTTTAGTTAACAACTTGAAGACTTTTCAGCTGACGTTCTCAGGAGTGTGTAACCTCCCTACCACCACCACCACCACCACCACGTTAAAAGCTACGTTTGCAATGGGAACCCTGTTGATGAGTCAACCCCAGTACTTCACTGTAGTGTCTCTTTTTAACAGGGAAGTTCCCATGAAGGAAGCTAAGGACTTTGCTGAGTCCATTGCGGCCATCTTCATGGAGACCAGCGCCAGAAACGCTGTCAACGTGGAGGAGCTCTTTCAGAAGATCAGTAAGTATTTCTAGTTCACTCGGTTTCTCTTGGCAAGGTGTTTCATTCCGTCCAACCACGTGACATATGGTTTATTTATCATTCATTGTTGTCAGGGGGTTGGGTTCAATTTGAATTGAAGTCAGTTCATTCAGGAAGTAAAATTGAGTGACAATAATAAGTTATCTATGTCAAAAGTTGTTTTATTTTCAAATCAAATAACTTCCTGAATTGATCCCAATCCCATTATTGTTATGCATCCCTAAGATCTTTATTCTGCAAAGTCATTTTTTTGTTCACTATAAAGCATGTGTTGTGAATATCTTTTGATATCTGTTTGTTTTAAGACACAAGTTACAAATCTCAACATTCTATGCAACCCTTCAAGACAGATTAGCACCATTCAGCACAGCGCCTGTTAGCAGCTCTCTTAGGGATGAATCCAAGCTTCCACCTCAACATTCTATGAAACCTTCTCAGACTGCAATCAGGATTCTTCCCAAATGGCACCCTATTGTAGCGCACTACTTTTGACAGCACTATGTAGGGGAAAAGGGTGCCATTTGAGAAGCAATCACAGCGTAATAATTTGCGTCTCTCTTTACGTAATGATACACGTTGTGTTGTGTTTCAGGTAAACAGATTCCGCCCCTGGAGAATCCAGATTTAGACAGCAACGAGTCCTTCAAGATAACCCGGCAGCCCCCTCCGTCTAACAAACGCTGCTGCTAGTAAGACCACTTCTGAGTCCCAAATAGACCCCTAGCACCCTACCCCCCTAGCACCCTACCCCCCTAGGCATTTCTGTAGATCTGAAGGGGGACTGGTGTAGTAAATTCTACCTATCTTATCTAAGGGCAAGGTGGAGGTATTATCATGTTACCACATTGCTTACACCAATCCTATACTTTCAGATCGTGTATGAAGTTGCTAGGCCCTGGGGTTAGGGGGGCAAGGGGTCGGTTTGGAATTCAGCATCCGATTGCCAGTGAGATTATCGCTCTATTTGGCTTCCACACATTACACAGTTCCATGGATCAAGTCCACACATCCTCTCGACACACGGTCCACAATGCATAGCTCTGCTCCTGATTGTCCCTTCGACAGTCCACAATGCATACCTTGCATATACATTGGTCTCAGCGAAAGAGAGGAGGACAACAAGGCTTTGGCTTGTGATAGATCAGAACCTCTCCCCTATAGCTTGGTAAACAGTATTAAGGTCCAGAACCTCTCCCCTATAGCGTAGTAAACAGTGTCCAGGTCCAGAACCTCTCTCCTATAGCATAGTAAACAGTGTCCAGGTCCAGAACCTCTCCCCTATAGCATAGTGTCCAGTGTCCAGGTCCAGAACCTCTCCCCTATAGCGTAGTAAACAGTGTCCAGGCCCAGAAACCGCCCCTATAGCGTAGTGTCCAGTGTCCAGGCCCAGAACCTCTCCCCTATAGCGTAGTACACAGTGTCCAGGTCCAGAACCTCTCCCCTATAGCGTAGTAAACAGTGTCCAGGTCCAGAACCTCTCCCCTATAGCGTAGTAAACAGTGTCCAGGCCCAGAACCTCTCCCCTATAGCGTAGTAAACAGTGTCAAGGTCCAGAACCTCTCCCCTATAGCGTAGTACACAGTGTCCAGGTCCAGAACCTCTCCCCTTTAGCGTAGTAAACAGTGTCCAGGTCCATAACCTCTCCCCTATAGCGTAGTAAACAGTGTCCAGGTCCAGAACCTCTCCCCTATAGCGTAGTGTCCAGTGTCCAGGTCCAGAACCTCTCCCCTATAGCGTAGTAAACAGTGTCCAGGCCCAGAACCTCTCCCCTATAGCGTAGTGTCCAGGTCCAGAACCTCTCCCCTATAGCGTAGTAAACAGTGTCCAGGTCCAGAACCTCTCCCCTATAGCGTAGTAAACAGTGTCCAGGTCCAGAACCTCTCCCCTATAGCGTAGTAAACAGTGTCCAGGTCCAGAACCTCTCCCCTATAGCGTAGTGTCCAGGTCCAGAACCTCTCCCCTATAGCGTAGTAAACAGTGTCCAGGCCCAGAACCTCTCCCCTATAGCGTAGTAAACAGTGTCAAGGTCCAGAACCTCTCCCCTATAGCGTAGTACACAGTGTCCAGGTCCAGAACCTCTCCCCTATAGCGTAGTAAACAGTGTCCAGGTCCAGAACCTCTCCCCTATAGCGTAGTAAACAGTGTCCAGGTCCAGAACCTCTCCCCTATAGCGTAGTACACAGTGTCCAGGTCCAGAACCTCTCCCCTTTAGCGTAGTAAACAGTGTCCAGGTCCAGAACCTCTCCCCTTTAGCGTAGTAAACAGTGTCCAGGTCCAGAACCTCTCCCCTATAGCGTAGTAAACAGTGTCCAGGTCCAGAACCTCTCCCCTATAGCGTAGTGTCCAGTGTCCAGGTCCAGAACCTCTCCCCTATAGCGTAGTAAACAGTGTCCAGGTCCAGAACCTCTCCCCTATAGCGTAGTAAACAGTGTCCAGGCCCAGAACCTCTCCCCTTTAGCGTAGTAAACAGTGTCCAGGTCCAGAACCTCTCCCCTATAGCGTAGTAAACAGTGTCCAGGCCCAGAACCTCTCCCCTATAGCGTAGTAAACAGTGTCCAGGTCCAGAACCTCTCCCCTATAGCGTAGTAAACAGTGTCCAGGTCCAGAACCTCTCCCCTATAGCGTAGTAAACAGTGTCCAGGCCCAGAACCTCTCCCCTATAGCGTAGTAAACAGTGTCCAGGTCCAGAACCTCTCCCCTATAGCGTAGTAAACAGTGTCCAGGTCCAGAACCTCTCCCCTATAGCGTAGTAAACAGTGTCCAGGCCCAGAACCTCTCCCCTATAGCGTAGTAAACAGTGTCCAGGTCCAGAACCTCTCCCCTATAGCGTAGTAAACAGTGTCCAGGCCCAGAACCTCTCCCCTATAGCGTAGTAAACAGTGTCCAGGTCCAGAACCTCTCCCCTATAGCGTAGTAAACAGTGTCCAGGCCCAGAACCTCTCCCCTATAGCGTAGTAAACAGTGTCCAGGTCCAGAACCTCTCCCCTATAGCGTAGTAAACAGTGTCCAGGTCCAGAACCTCTCCCCTATAGCGTAGTAAACAGTGTCCAGGTCCAGAACCTCTCCCCTATAGCGTAGTAAACAGTGTCCAGGTCCAGAACCTCTCCCCTATAGCGTAGTAAACAGTGTCCAGGCCCAGAACCTCTCCCCTATAGCGTAGTAAACAGTGTCCAGGTCCAGAACCTCTACCCTATAGCGTAGTGTCCAGTGTCCAGGCCCAGAACCTCTCCCCTATAGCGTAGTAAACAGTGTCCAGGCCCAGAACCTCTCCCCTATAGCGTAGTGTCCAGGTCCAGAACCTCTCCCCTATAGCGTAGTACACAGTGTCCAGGTCCAGAACCTCTCCCCTTTAGCGTAGTGTCCAGGTCCAGAACCTCTCCCCTTTAGCGTAGTAAACAGTGTCCAGGCCCAGAACCTCTCCCCTATAGCGTAGTAAACAGTGTCCAGGTCCAGAACCTCTCCCCTATAGCGTAGTGTCCAGTGTCCAGGCCCAGAACCTCTCCCCTATAGCGTAGTAAACAGTGTCCAGGTCCAGAACCTCACCCCTATAGCGTAGTAAACAGTGTCCAGGCCCAGAACCTCTCCCCTATAGCCCATAGAAAGCTAGTTGGACATTTCGTCATGTTGTACCTATTCCACCTATCCAGTCCTCCTCTCAGATCTACTCCTGTGCCTTGGTAAGGTGTGCTGTAGGTGTCGTTTCTGGCTGTAGAGAGGAACCAGTACAGTTTTGTGTGTTTAGAGATCTAAATACCCTAATAAAATGAACCCTGAAGTTACACGGAATAGTATGATACATATTGGGATATGTTTTCAGTACACATGCAGCAGCACAGTGAAAAACAAACATTTCATCATTTTGGAAAAAGAGAAAAAAAAAGAAGCAACCCGATTTTGGAAATCTAAATATGTTACATCTCATCTCATCTCTAACTCGCTGAACATGAACATTGGATAAATTGCACAAATAGGGAATAATCTAGTTGAGTTGAATGATGTTTAATAAAAATGACTTGTGACACAGACTTGAGATTACATTCTAAATACTTTGTACGATATAGAGATTGTGAATTCTCATTCCAAACATGCAATCAACAGATGTGTAGATCCAGTGATTGTATTGTTGCATTGTGTCTCCAGTATTACATAGATAGGACTTCATATCCATTTATTGCATGAATTCGGTCTCACCGACCGTCGTTGTCTTTTTCCCATTGAATGCTGGTATATGTACAGGCCTGTATAGCACACACGTGGAATATTTACTGTATAAGATGTTCATAATGTATACGAAGGACTAAGTTGCATGAGCTCATAAAGGCATCATAGGGCGGCAGGTAGCCTAGCGGTTAAGAGCTTTGTGCCAGTAACCGAAAGGTCGCTGGTTTGAATCCCAGAGCCGACTAGGTGTAAAATATGTCGTATGTGCCCTTGCGCAAGGCACTTAACCATAATTGGTCCTGTATGTCAGAGATCGTCTGCTAAATGACTAAAATAATTAATAAAGGTCATGTTAACCGACTGCTATTATGTCATTTAGCAGACGCTCTTATCCAGAGCGACTTACAGTTAGTGAGTGCATACATTATTATTATTTTTTGTAATTTTTTTCATACTGGCCCCCCGTGGGAATCGAACCCACAACCCTGGCGTTGCAAACGCCATGCTCTACCAACTGAGCTACATCCCTGCCGGCCATTCCCTCCCCTACCCTGGACGACGCTGGGCCAATTGTGCCCCTACAGAAATGTAGAAGATCTCTTAAGCTTGTGTTAACCTCGGACCTTATTTTCGGCGTAGATCCCAAAACCCCATTATTTTCAACCATTAATTTCCCCCATAGGAATGCCCAACGAACCAGAGGTAGGAAATGCTAACCCATTTCTGTTTTTTATGACTACAAGCCGGCGAGCTCTATAGGCCAGATGCATAGACAGATTGGCAAACCACTGTGTCTGTGTAGAAAAACGGGGCCCATAGGCTTTTGGATTCGACTGCTTTTATGTCATTTTATTTGTAGTTTGAGCACTTTTTTCATGGAAAAATGTTGATTCAGTATTAGTTTTTGATGACTACATTCCCTTACAATTGCCCATCAATAGCTGAATTGCTACAGTTTGAAATGTACACAAAACTGTCTGGAATATGGAGTTTACAGCAACACCTCCTTGCAGACCTGCAGTGCCATTTTGTAAAAAATATTTTGTACTTTGTGGGTAGATATAATTATTTTTTACTATCAGGATTTTATACAATATTTGGAATTTGTCAGTGTACAGGTATGCACCGTGAGATGTTAACTCACAATACTGTTCTGGACTGTTCTGGACTGTTCTGGACTGTTCTGGACTGTTCTGTACTGTTCTGGACTGTTCTGGACTGTTCTGGACTGTTCTGGACTGTTCTGTACAAACTTGACCAATGTCCAGGTGTGGCAATAATCTGATCAAACTAGACTTGCACGTTTCTTAACCTGAATGCCTGCCATCACAGTCCAATGTAAACAAGGGCCTTTCTTTTAGTTTTGCCGCTGTAGACAAAATCGAATATGAAATAGATTGTTATTCATAGTTTAAAATGTTACATTTTTGTGTGCTTGAGTGAAGTTAAAGCATTTTCTATAACCTATACAGACCAGATTTAACATTTGATATATGAATCTGTATAAAATAAA